CCCCAAAACCCCAAAACCCCAAAACCCCAAAACCCCAAAACCCCATACCTCAGGAGATAATTGAATTTTCAATAATTTATTTAATAAAAATGGATCTTTACGACCCATGGGGACTTAGAAAGATAGTTATGTCAATTCCGTTGAATGCCAGAGGAGAAGATAGTAAGCAATTGCTTTAACCATACTTTATAGTGGATATCAACATCGAGCATCCATGCCAAGTATTCGCAATTCTATTAAAGCATGATATTTTGGGAAGGATGCTATTCCTTTGATACATGAAATTTAACAATAGGCTATCAAATAAAACCACTTCAGAGTACCTAACCATGGTCTGATATATAGGAAGCTTTTACAGTCCTTGTTCGATGCATTGACAGCATCTACAAAGCTGATGTTACAAAGACAGCAGTTTGAGTATAAATGTAGGATAGAAATTTCTCAGAATTTGTTCATTGTTGGAAAGTATCTAGATTTTTGTCTTCCTTCTTGAATCCTTTTTCTTGGTAGGAGTTTATGACCATTTTGATGCGTCAAAAAGACTTGAGAAGGTTAATCCTTTAGGATGACAACTTAAGTTTTTCATTTGATATCCCTTCTCTTCAAGAGAATTTTATTTCTCAAATGCGATCTTAATCTAAAAATCTTTAGACGGGATCAGGAAAGCTCACAGAAATAAGATTCGGTACAGTGAAGACGACAAGAAAGAATTGATTACAGCCTTAAAGAACATTATGAGTAAGTCTCTGCAGTATTTATCATTTAGAAGTCTATAACTTTCCCAGCGATATGCTTGAAGAGAGAGCATCTTATGCTATCAAAATGATTCTTACTGCTATGAAGGAAATATTGGTCAGAGATAGTTATCATATCCTAAATCCTGCCAATAGCAAGCTCAAAGGATCTAAACTTGATAAAACAATAGTGCAAGAGATGGACTATTACTTCTGTGACGCTGACAATGCAGTCAGCTGTTGTTACAAGTTTGAGATGGTTAAAAAGAAGAAACTCTTGCAATTCACTCGGATGACTCCTTATGTAGTTGACTTTGTCGAGACCACTACAGATTTTTATACCAATTTTAGGAATTCAGTAATCGCTCAGGTAGCAGAGTCCATTAAGAAGGAGGGCAAATTGAAAGACAAGGATAATGTTGAGGGTAAAGCAACACTCCTAATTTTTAGAAAACCTGAAGCTTAAGATCACGCATTACCCACAAATGGTTATTCTTTCTGCAATTCCAACCGACGAAGACAATTTTCTGTTCAAACTTGTCCCTGATGAGTTTGACCTGAGTAGAGTAAACTCCTCTCCAGATGAGGAAGAAAAGAAAGAAGAGGAGAATTTTGCTGGAACAGTAGACGATATTGGAGTCGGCTCAACAATATATGAACTAAGAAACATCATCACAGTAAATAAAAGAAACAAATTCTTTGATATGGTGAATAGAGATGACGGTGAATGGTCTGGATATGCACAAGGAAATAACTTTGACAACCAAACATCATCATTTTTGGAGTATAAAGCCCCAGAGGAAGGCTCTAGAGTTTACCCTATTGAAGAAGCGCATAAGATGCCTCATCTGACAATGAACAACTTCTTTGTAGAGCTGAATCCTGTAATTGTGATCTTTATGAAATAAGGATCCATTCGAGCACACAAAGAAGAAATTTGTTTGTAAGTCAGTATTTAACCATTTCAATAGCTACGGAAGAAGACCATATGAACTTCTACAACAATGATGAGAAAGAAATGTTCGAAAATGATTTGGAGATGGCCAAAAAGCTCCAGGAACAGTTAGATGAAGAAGAGAGAAACAAGTAAGAATGTCCATACAATTTTAGATATAAAACTAATAAGAAATCCGACGTTAAGATGTCAAGTAAGTCCATAATATTGTCACTAAAGGCTCATTGTTAATAGGACTAAGCTGGAAATGTAAATTTTGATACAAAAGACAGGAGACCTTTACATCTTGCTCAGATTGTGGAAGACGTAAAAACATTGCATAATTCTTTATAGAAAAATCTGTTTGAAAGAAAAACAGTGATTCAGAGGACTCAGATGAAGGAATGAGAGCAGTAAGAATTTTATTCCATATTTGGGCCTATTTATGGCTTGGGAGCTTGCAAAAGCTTTGAGATAAGATTTCATTATGCTCCTGCTTTCTTTTCTATCAATTAGAAGATTTTTAATGCAAATTTCCCCTTTTTAAGTTTCCTTCTCATAGGACCTGCCAAGTTCAACAGGAATGAGCAATAGGAAATTTTTCTAGGCACAAGGATCTCACTTTATCAAGTATTTGAAATAAAATTTAGCAAATCATCTGTCCCTACCCATTAGTTCCAACCTAAACACCTTTGTCTGGGGTTTTGGGGTTTTGGGGTTTTGGGGTTTTGGGGTTTTGGGG